TAATATAATATACAAAATAAATTAGCCTTCTAAGAACATGGAGTCAGATTCTTCATTCCTCCCTGCCACGAAAATCCCTGCAAATACAATAGAATGTATGAGGAGCAAAAAGGAAAGAAATAAGGGAACATTTTGTATTATGTCCCCCAAGCATCCTCTTCATGCCTGACTTTCAAATACACAGTTTAACTAGAGATTCCACACCAGTTATTTAATTGAAATTCCTTATTATTCAACCATTCCTTATTATTTAACTTCTGAATTATTTTTGTGGCCTACAGCAGGATTGGTGACTGGAATCTTGGCTCCCAGAAAATATTTGGGCTTCACTGATTTCTTCACAGACCTTATCTTCACTTAAAACACAGTCAGAGGGGAAGAGACAACATTATTTAAATGTGTGTTTGATCTTTTGCATTAATTGATAGAATTAATCTTAATTTTTCACAAAATACCTGAAGTTTGATGTTTATGCCTCTTATTTTCACTTCTTAGGGAAGATTTCAAACATTTTTTTACATATTCCTGCACATTCCTATCCAATACTCAACTGACTTTCTAGAATGATGTTCAGTATTTGTTATTCACAAAATATTTTCTATATAAGATATTAAGAAAAAAAAAATCCATTAATGTTCTGAAGAAAAAGAAATATGTATTTTTGTGATATCATCATTTGAGTTTCAAAATATTTATTTCAAATTAGGTTTTTCTCTTGCATATAGATAATCTCTGTAGAATCAATCTGATTACATAACTTACATATTTCACAATAAATACATCACTGCTTCCAGATAATAAAGTGACAGAATATTAAATACAATTTCATTTCTAAGGATGGCTTTCACATCTCCCAGCCTTCCATGAGATTTAAGCTATGGTAAATTCTGACGGGTAAGGCAGGTAACTCATTTCCAGTGTAGCCAGTAGAAATTCAAGCAGTACAAGGAAAAAACCTAGTTTAAGTGATTCAGCAAGCTATAGAATACAAACCGTAATTGAAAAGTGCCTGAACCAAAATAATATCAAAAAGATAAAAGAAAAATTTTAGTTTCCCATTCTATTATTGACTTTAAAAATTCCAGATATACTTTAAAGTACCTTAGAATATTAACTAGCACTACTTTAATTTTAAATTACAAGAATTTCAAGTGTCAGTATTGACTGACACTACTTTTAATTTTAAAAGGGTGATTAACTGGAGCATTTCAGGTACCTGCCCTCAACTAACAGATCACTCTCAGGTGGCACAGAAAGAGAATTTCCATATTTCAAGAATTAAGCTTTTCAATGTAAAAATAATAGTGAACAATTTTAAATTCTAGTCCACTGAAAGTAGAATAAAAATGCCTTTTTTACCACATAAACATGGTCAGAAGCACTGCTATTGCATAGAAAACACAGAGAGAGAGCGAGGCAAAGGTTATTTTTGACTTATACTCTCAACAGAAGTTGTAAGGTTTTTAAAAGCACATAAAATACAGCAAGAAATTTCCATATTTCTAGTCTTTTAATATGTTAAATCCAGCTCTGCTTTCCTTTCCAAGCAATCCCTATCTCTTCTCTTTCACACTTTGAGAAACATGTCCATGTTTCTCTTGAAAAGTGCTCACAGCATCACAGAATCAACAAACCACAGAATCACAAAATCACAGTATCCCAGAATCACAAAATCACAGTATCACAAAATCACAGAATCACAAAATCACAGAATCCCAGAATCACAAAATCACAGAATCACAAAATCACAAAATCACAGAATCCCAGAATCACAAAATCACAGAATCACAAAATCACAGAATTCCAGACTGCTTTGGGTTGGGAGAATTTTAAAGCCCATCCCAACCCACCCTGCCATGGCAGGGACACCTTCCACTGTCCCAGGCTGCTCCCAGCCCTGTCCAACCTGGATTTGGACACTTCCAGGGATCCAGGGGCACCCTCCCCACCATCCCAGAGAAGAATTTATTTCCAATATCTAATCTAAACTTATTCCTTTTCAGTTTGAAGCCATTCCCCCTTGTCCTGCTCCAATTCCCGATAAAAACTGGGGATGCCATTTCCAAGACACTCCCAACTTATGTTGGAATTCTCAGAGCTCAGGTGAGATCAGATGAGAAGAAACAGCTTTAACAAACCTTAAGAAAAATAAATTAAAGGCTTTTTGTCTAACAAGAGATCATATCTATGTTTTTCTCTCCTCCATTTAGCTAAACCTTACCCCTGTGCTGTTCTGTCTCTCTCCAGTGCCTGGAAGCTGCTTTGTTGGTGGCTGCTTTGTTAAAAGCTGTGAGCACAAACAGTTCCTGCAGGCTTTTGTCACTTCAGCTGAGCAGGAGATTTCCCAGGATGCTAAAATACCTCCCTGTACATTATCCTTCAAAGCCCAAGAGAGCTGGGAACAGAATTAGAGGGAATAATTTCCCCTCTTTTTTCTAAACCTCACGGAAGATGTTGCTCTGCTGCTGTTGCTTGTTTGCTTGTTAATTTTTTTATGTGCTAACTATTGTAGCACTTTCATACTTTTTTGTTTTCCTTTTTCCCAAGCCACTGCTGTCTGTGTGACAAGGCAACAGAGCAGAACTCAGGATGTTTGTACGTTGCTGGTGGCTCATGATGGGTAAAACTCTTCACTTATCAATGTTTTAGTTTCTCTGTACATTAAATTGTGGAAGAGGTTTTACAGTGACTTCTGTGAGCCAGAGAGGAGTTTGAGAAGAGCGTCCATGTTTACCCCTAAAAGAATTTTCTACCAAGGTTGCTGACACAGAAACCAAGAAAGAAAGAAGGAGAATAAGAGAAACTTCAACTGCATATTCTAAACCTCATGGAAGATGTTGCTCGGCTGCTGTTGGTTGTTTGATTGTTAATTTTTTTATGTGCTAACTATTGTAGCACTTTCATACTTTTTTTTTCCTTCTCCCAGGTCACTGCTGTCTGTGTCACAAAGCATCAGAGCAGAACTAAGGACATTTGCACTTTGTTGGTGGCTCATGATGGGGAGCTCTGACCAGTAAAACTCTTCACTTATCAATGCTTTCATTTCTCTGTACATTAAATTGTGGAAGAGGTTTTACAGTGACTTCTGTGAGCCAGAGAGGAGTTTGAGAAGAGGATCCATGTTTACCCCTAAAAGAATTTTCTACCAAGGTTGCTAACACAGAAACCAAGAAGGAAAGGAGAATAAGAGAAACTTCAACTACATATTCCAATGAGCACTTTGTCTCTGGTGACCAATGAGTAAAGTGTGAACTTATGAGCTTTGTAAGAATGTATAAAAAGCATGTATGCCATAATAAGAACAGTTTGAAGCCTTCTGAAAATTGAGTGTCTTGCTTTTTGTCTCCATCTCAACCATGACATTAAATAATTATTGCACTGGTCTTTAATATTACTTGAGGTTCCACAGAGACAGCAGTACTCAAGAATTAAGTATCAATAATATTTTTAGGTGTGAAAGACACCATTCAGAGGGGAAATCCAACTCCTTGAATGTGCCTACAGCTTAGAGTGAGATACAGCCCAGAGAGAAGACACCCAAATATTCAATACACACCCATATTCAATCAATAAAATCACTTTTCATCCCCTTAATTTTGTCTGGCTCTGCTTTTAGGTAACCCACACAGGTTGCAGCGCCAGGGAATAACTGGCTGCTGCAGGTTTCTTGTTGTTTCCCCATTGCTCAGGTGACAGCACTCCCACAAAAGGGGAGGATTGGGGTGGAGGTTCCTGCTGGCCCCGAGCCCAGGGCTGACACACACACAGGAGGATCTGGGAGCTGGTACTGGTTCAGCAGGGCTGGGAGCAGCAGAGAGCTGCAGCTGCTGGGGTGTGAGCATTGGCAGAACCACAGGTGAGTGCTGGAACCCTGGGAAACGAGAATTTTGGGTTTTCTGTGCTGCCAGGCACTGACCTCCAAGAGAACACTGCATTTGACCTGAGGATGTGGAGAAGCTTCCAAAATGGAATGATAGAACTGGATTGTGGGTGTGGAGTTTGGATAGAAGTGTGTGATATCACAGGGTGGAAAACTTAGAGTTTAAGGGTTTAGAATATTGTAATAAATATAGAGCAAGGTGGAGGTTTTAGAGTGGAGGCTGGTCCTTCTTCTCCTCCTTCTTTCTTCTCCTTTCTTTTCTTTCTTCTTCTCCTCCTTCACCTTCTCCTTCTTCTCTTTCTCCTTCTTCTCCTTCTTCTCCTTCTTTCTCCTCCTTTCTTCTTCTCCCCCTTCTCCTCCTTCACCTTCTCCTCCTTCTCCTTCTTTCTCCTTCTTTCTTCTTCTTTTTCTCCTCGTTCACCTTCTCCCGCTTCTCCTTTTCCTCCTTCACCTTCTTCTTCTCCTTCTCCTTCTTCTCCTCCTTTTTCTCCTCCTTCCCTTTTCCTCCTCCTCCTTCTCCTTCTTCTCCTTCACCTTCTCCTTCTTCGCCATGGGTTTGGGTGGTTTTGTGTAATTGGATAAAAAAATCCACATTGCGGGCCACAACTGGTTGGTTATTGGGTTAAAAGTAAAAATAATTTTGGTGTAATTTCTTAATTAGACAGTTTTTCCTTAAAAGACTTTGTAGAGATAGAGATGGGGCCATTTTGTAGCTTGCTAGCGAAATGCTGTAGAATTCAGAGCTTGTAAAATTGTGATATAGATAAGAAATTAGGCTGATAAAGGGGTGACAGCAGGAGATGCTGAAATCAGAGGATGGTCAGTATTGACAAACAGAATGCCCCAGAGACTTTTCAGAAGGCTGGCACAAAGGAAGATGTGGCTGAAACCCAGCTGTGAACAGCCCCAGAATGGATGGAGAAGCTGAGCCAGAGAAAAGGAGTGTGTGACCTTCAACTTGGAAAGAAAGAGAATTGCAAAGGGGCAGAGTAGGAAACCCAAGGAAGCAAGGTCAAAAAGGAGAGCTAGACAAAAAAAAAAATTAAAATAAAAGAGAGAGAGGAAGAAAAACAACAGAGAAGGGGGGGAGAGGAAGAAAAGAAAAGAGCAGAAGAGCAGAGAGGGCACTGGCTGGGGAAAAAAAATAAAACCTGATTCAGAGAAAATCTGAAATGAGAATTATTATTTTGAACAATTAAAATGGTTTACTATGTCATTGTAAAATGAGAGCTCAGTGGGTAAAGATGTAATATGTGTTATAAATACCTAGATGTAAAACTTTCTATCTAGAAAAACGAAGTTTTCTCTGCATTATGTCCAAACTTGCAGAGCAAAACAAAATACTTATTCAGTATTTAATAACTATAGTATTTTCTGCCTTTTTGTGTTTGTTTCGGGGTTTTTTTCCCACTTTGCTGTCAATCCAGAGTTCACAATCTTTTTTTGCAGCACTAAGGAGATGGGAATGACAAAATTACATGGCCTGGCTATTCTAGTGACAGCAGGGATCACTGGTGCAATCTGGTGGGTGTTCAACCTTTGATAATTATTCTCAACAAGAATTTCTTTCTATTGCCCAAACTGAGACAGTTTTCTTCCATCTAATGCAGATACAATGCAAGCTTTGAATTTACACAAATTCAAAATCCCTTTTTACATTCAAAAGATGAAAATGAGCAAGGTGTGGACACTTTCAACCTTTTCTGTGAAATTCCAAAAGTCTGAATAATTATATATAATATGTATAATATATTATATATAAAAATATACATTTTACATATAATATTATCTATATAAAATATATATATATTATATAATATTTTATATACATATATACATATATATACATGTACATATATATATACACACACACATATATATACATACATATATATATATATATATATAATATCAAGAATATTTCAAGTATTCTTCCATCCAAAAAAGTTGTTTCATGGTGGTTGGTTTCATTCTAATATTCAAAACTCTCAAAAATTCACTTCCTTTCAAACCAGGACAGGTGTGTATTCAGTGTTCTGGAGCCTGAAATCAGAGCAGGTGGGGTTAATTCAGAGTTGGCTGGAACAATATTGATGATCTGTTCCAGCTGGAGGAATTAGAACAAATTTTCAGCCACATTTTCTCTGCAGCAGAGCATCAAATGTGAGCACAAATGCTCAAGTTTTTATTTAAATTTACACTCAGATCACACAGAATGGCCAGAGCAAAGGGATGCTGTGCACATCTGGATTCAAGAAGGAGCTGCAGAGGAATTCTGACATCAGCTGAGACCAAACTCTGCTCAAAGCACACACATTGCCTTTGGTGCAGATAGTCTGGGGCAAATTAAATCACTCACAGATCCTCAGAGTTGATTGATCTTCAGATAACTTTAGGCTAAACTCCTGTGGGAAAAACACCAATCACTTGTTGCTAAAATTTTAAAAATTTAAGAGTAATAAAATGGTTATAAAAATAGTAATATAATTAGAGTAATAAAAATTTGGACAATTTGGATTAGGACAATATGGCACAATAAAAACAAAGAGTTACAGACAGTCTGGGTACCTATTTCTGGGCAAAATAAGCCCAAAAAAGGACCACGTTAACAGAGGATTAACCCTTAAAAGCAACAGCCTGTTGCATATTCATACACCTCATCCATGATGCATAAATTTCATTCAAACACAGGATTCTGTCTGGTCAGTGTCAGCTTCTTCCTCTGAATCCTGACAGCATCTTCACGGCTGAGCAAGGCAGGAAGAAGTTCATTTCTTCTGATAAGGGAGCAATAAATTCTCTTTCTCTGAAAGATTCAGGTGTCCTGTGGCTGCTGAGTCCTCTCTTTAAAAAGTATCCTGCATAGCATAGTTTCTATTTTAACATTATGTTATAACCTAACACTATATTTAACACAATACTTAAGAAAATTAATACAGCATCACTTTCTAACATAACACATATAATATTTATTTTAATATTTGCCAAAAGCCAATCATAAAATACACATTTTTCACATCCTGTCTTGAAACAGCTGAGATTTGCAAATCCTATCACCATACTGACCCCACAAATGTTCTGTTAGATTTGTTTTATAGTTTCAGCCACAAAGGAAGTGGAGGAAAGGTTGATTTTTGTTTTCATCATTGACTCATTGTTTTCTTATCCTGTCCAAGGTACCACTACCCTTTCTCCCCAGCCAGAACCCAGGAACACAAAGCCTCCCCTGGAGAGGATTCAGTCCTGTAAGTTCATTCTGCAAAATGAAAAAGTAATAAAAGTGGTATGGACATACGGATAGTGTCACAGACATATTTTATGAAAAATCCTTTGGCTGGGATCTTTTCTCCCGAGAAGCTGAGAGGCCTCAGAAATGAAATGTAAACAATAATTATCTGCTGCTGTGGAATGCAACAGTGCATCTGTGATTGGTCTCATGTGGTTGTTTTTAATTAATGGCCAATCACAGTCAGCTGGCTCAGACTCTGGTCAGTCACAAGATTTGTCATTCCATTCCTTTTCCTTTTAAGCCTTCTGATGAAATCCTTTCTTCTATTCTTTTAGTATAGTTTTAATATATCATTTTCTTTTAATATAATATATATCATAAAATAATAAATCAAGCCTTCTGAAACATGGAGTCAAGATTCCCATCTCTTCCTTCATCCTGGAACCCCTGTGAACACCACCACAGGAGAGTTTACCAAAGGATCATTCCAGGCCATGAGGACAACACTCACCTGAAATTACTCATTTTTAGGCACCAGATCCGTGCCCTGGAAGTGCTGATTTCCATTTTGATATGAGCCACCCTGCAGGCTCACATTGTATATGAACTCATATAAATAATAAAATAGTTTTTGTGATAGAGCCTGGATGCTCACTGACATTGAACCACACAAAGATCTCTTGTGGGACTCATTTCTCAGAAAAAGAAATCTGGAATTTCTGTGCCATGGTGAATTTATGTACCTTTTATTTCTCCCTATATAATATTTCAAATATATTTTTTTTTATTTTCATTTGCAGAAAAATAGATGAAACATCTCTGATGGTTCCATGGTAAGTGCACCTGCTCTGGCACAATGGAATATCATGACCATGAAATCCCATTGATCTCAGAAACACAGAGTGGCACTGACAGGATAGCTGAGAGCCAGACTGAATGAAATAGAAGCCTGACTAGAAAATCAACTCTTCCATAAACCATCAAAAATGCATAGATGAAGAATCTGTAATTTGTTACTTTCAGAAAGGAAACCGAGAAATGATGGTGAATGTTGAAAATATTTTGGTTTATTTTATCTTATTCAGTTTTTTGCGTCCTCTGTCAGAAGCTAAAAAACAAAAGGCTTTGGCTGATACTATTTTTTGTGGTGGCAGTCAGCATCCTACCTGACATGTAAATGCCTGTGGAATTAATATTTTAGGTCACTGGGCTAAATTATTTTCTGGAATTGCCTATTCAGAAATCTGTGCTGCAATCACACCTGTGCTGTGGTGAGACTGGAATGATTAATTCAGTGTGACATCTGTGTTTGTTTTGATGAATTTCCTGGGCCATCTCAAGCCTGCCTTCATTCCCAACCCCTTGCAGGAGGAGGGATGTGCTGGTGCTGACACCATGGCTGGCTCCAATTGTCTGGGAAGGCACGTTCAGCAGAGACATCCTGGATGCTCAATATCTGCAGAAGAACCTGGTCACTGGAGTGGTCACTTTTGCTGTTGAAAAGTACTGGTTTGTCCTTTATTTCTTGTCAAATAGTTAAACCTCTCTGCAGTACTGCTGGTGGAGCATGATTGCATCTGCAAGGGATGAAGGAAGGAATGATGAATCTGACTCCATGGTCTCAGAAGGCGAATTTATTACTTTATAATGCTATTTATTATTATTAATTCTATTAATTATTTTATTATTTTTATATTATTATTATTAACTTTATTAATATTATTATTTTGTTATTAATTGTATTAAATATTTTAATGTAATATATAATGATTAAATGTATATAATTAATTATTAAATATTATATTGAAAATACTATACTAAAGGATACAGAAAGGATACTGAATGCTAAAAGATAATGAAAATTATATATATAATATATAATTATATATAATTATGTACTGTAATTATATTAATATATTATAATATATAATATATAAAC